GGGGCCCGCCCAGAACGCGGAAGCCATGAGGACAAGGGCAGGGACAAAAGGCCTGACCGAGGGAGCCGTCCAGAACTCGCAAGTCATGAGGACAAGGGCAGGGACAAAAGGCCTGGCCGGGGGGGCCGCCCAGAAAACGCAAGCCACGAGGACAAGGGCAGGGACAAAAGGCCTGACCGAGGGGGCCGTCCAGAGCATGTAAACGGCCGCACGGGGGGGGCCGCCAAAAAACCGAAAGCCACGAGGACAAGGGCAGGGACAAAAGGCCTGACCGAGGGGGCCGTCCAGAACACGGAAGCCACGAGGACAAGGGCAGGGACAAAAGGCCTGATCGAGGGGGCCGCCCAGAACAAGCAAGCCATGAGGACAAGGGCAGGGACAAAAGGCCTGACAGAGGGGGCCGCCCAGAAATCGCAAGCCATGAGGACAAGGGCAGGGACAAAAGGCCTGACCGAGGGGGCCGCCCAGAACAAGCAAGCCATGAGGACAAGGGCAGGGACAAAAGGCCTGATCGGGGGGGCCGCCCAGAACAAGCAAGCCATGAGGACAAGGGCAGGGACAAAAGGCCTGATCGGGGGGGCCGCCCAGAACAAGCAAGCCATGAGGACAAGGGCAGGGACAAAAGGCCTGATCGGGGGGGCCGCCCAGAACAAGCAAGCCATGAGGACAAGGGCAGGGACAAAAGGCCTGATCGGGGGGGCCGCCCAGAACAAGCAAGCCATGAGGACAAGGGCAGGGACAAAAGGCCTGATCGGGGGGGCCGCCCAGAACAAGCAAGCCATGAGGACAAGGGCAGGGACAAAAGGCCTGACAGAGGGGGCCGCCCAGAAAACGCAAGCCACGAGGACAAGGGCAGGGACAAACGGCCTGACCGAGGCGGCCGTCCAGAACAGGGAAGCCATGAGGACAAGGGCAGGGACAAGAGGCCTGACCGAGGGGGCCGTCCAGAGCATGTAAGCCATGAGGACGAGGGCAGGGAAAAAAGGCCTGACCGAGGGGGCCGTCCAGAACATGGAAGCCATGAGGATAAGGGCAGAGACAAAAGGCCTGACCAATTAGGCCGTCCAGAACACACAAGAGATGAGGACAGGGGCGCGGAGGGAAAGCGTAAACTCAAGCCACGAGGACAAGGGCAGGGACAAAAGGCCTGACCGAGGGGGCCGTCCAGAACACGGAAGCCATGAGGACAAGGGCAGGGACAAAAGGCCTGACCGAGGGGGCCGGCCAGAGCATGTAAGCCACGAGGACAAGGGCAGGGACAAAAGGCCTGACCGAGGGGGCCGTCCAGAAGATGGAAGCCATGAGGACAAGGGCAGAGACAAAAGGCCTGACCAATTAGGCCATCCAGAACACACAAGCCATGAGGACAAGGGCAGGGACAAAAGGCCTGACCGAGAAGGCCGTCCAGAGCTTGTAAGCCACGAGGACAAAGGCAGGGACAAAAGGCCTGACCGAGGGGGCCGTCCAGAACATGGAAGCCATGAGGACAAGGGCAGAGACAAAAGGCCTGACCAATTAGGCCATCCAGAACACACAAGCCATGAGGACAAGGGCAGGGACAAAAGGCCTGACCGAGAAGGCCGTCCAGAGCTTGTAAGCCACGAGGACAAAGGCAGGGACAAAAGGCCTGACCGAGGGGGCCGTCCAGAACATGGAAGCCATGAGGACAAGGGCAAGGACAAAAGGCCTGACCAAGGGGGCCGCCCAGAACAAGCAAGCCATGAGGACAAGGGCAGGGACAAAAGGCCTGACCGAGGGGGCCATACAGAACAAGCAAGCCATGAGGACAAGGGCAGGGACAAACGGCCTGACCGAGGGGGCCGTACAGAACAAGCAAGCCATGAGGACAAGGGCAGGGACAAAAGGCCTGTCCGAGGGGGCCGCCCAGAACAAGCAAGCCATGAAGACAAGGGCAGGGACAAAAGGCCTGACCAAGGGGGCCGTCCAGAACAAGCAAGCCATGAGGACAAGGGCAGGGACAAAAGGCCTGACCGAGGGGGCCG